AATATAAGGCAAATAATAGGTAAAATAATGAAGTTGTAATATACTTAATATGGAGCTATTCAGATTTAAATTGGATAAGTTATATAACTTTTAATTTTGTTGGTAATTGTCCAAAGACTTTCTTAACACACTGTAATACTTTATTCAAAATAAATTGGAAATGAATGAAAGAATAATCGAACTTCCACCTTTAGAACTAACTACCCAGAACAGAACTGTCCTTCTGAAAATAGTTTTTGACCGTAAAAAGGCCAACCAACATATTAAAATTGATTTGGATGTTGTCGAACACTTGTAAAGCTTCACTTGAGGGTGCAACTTAGTTGTGGGATAGTCGATGTGCGGAATAGAGACCATAAGATTTCCACCACCGAGGAGCCGCATTCGATGGTTCAAATTCACGTTCCAAGCATTGTTCGTGCTTACCGTATTCATCATTTGCGTCGTGGTCATCGTTCTCTCTCGTTTGCTTTCGCTCGACGGTCTCGTCGAGAAGGCCCGCCGACCAACGCTCCAAAATACTATTACACCAGTCCGAATATTTCTCTTTTTCTTTATGGTCACGCGTCTCCTCTCGATTAGAATTGATTGGCGCTGTTGCGTTATCTTGAATAGTTTGCACGTAACTTATGTCGAATTTTCGACTAATTATTTCAAGTAAATCTTGAAAAATTTTATCCCTATCATGTAGAATGTGCTTTCTAATATTATTTAAATTAATTCCAACCCTTTCATCTAATGTTTTTGCATGCAAATAATAGAATAGAGTGGGTCTATCGCCCAACACATGCTCAAGGTTTTTATAAGGTCTAAAAATCACGGGGTCTTCTTCCAAGCTCTCTAACCATTCGCATAGCCTCATTAAAATTGGCGATGCTGTCAGTTTATTTAACTTCTCGCGAAATTCGGTATCATCAATTTCACTCGCACGGTACTTTCTTCCCGTCTCATTTTCCAATCGGAGTTTGTGCTTCTTCAGATCTCTCACCATTTCTTTGTGTCTTCGGTAATCTTTGGTTATTTCCTCGTAATAATAAGGTTCTTTCTGAAACATGTAACGAAAGTATCCGATCTTAAGTGATTCTGCAATTTCCACCGTTTCGGCTCCGATTCTCTCAATTGTTTCATTCAATTCCAACTCTTCTATTCGAATTTCTCTCAATATCGCAAACGCTGTTTTATGATCAACCTCGCGGCATGGTTCTTTCGGAAAATGATGAATGGATTTGGTGAACGGGGAATGGTGTAAGGTGCCCTTTTGGACG